CATATCTAGTTTATTTTATGATTTAGAAAATGACCTGGCTAGTTAAATGGACGAAGAAAAATTTTAAGATTGTACTTGGTTCTTCGTTTAATTTCTTGTCACCGATGCCAGTTGTCGTGACCAATTTAACATTGGCTTGCGATTTCCGGTTGTCGATTATATACCGCACACTGGATACCAGAGGTTTTATGTTTTCGAGCCTTGGAAAAACCTTGGAACCAACATATCCAGACCTGCAACTAACGTTGCAACGTTGCTATCTATATATCGGCTTATCTTGCAACAGTTCGCTGTTTCACTTAATTTTTTTTTCTTAGTTGCGGGGTAGATGATACGCGATACAGCGATGACGAAGCATTTGGTTCTTTGTCTGAATGTCATTGATCAACACAAGCTTTATTTTCCCTAATCAGCAGAGGGATATATTGTTACTTTTATTTTTGAAACTTCATTCATTTTTAACCGGCATTGAGAGCACAAATTTCATTTTAATTCCAAAACACGGCCAATAGCCGTGTTTCTGATCCTCGTTTTATTTCGAAGCTTCTTTCATGTTCTGAAAACGTTGCTCTTTTAAGATTAACACTTCTCTATTTTCACTGTAAGATTATTTTTTTGTGTGTTGATCAAGCGTTTGACCCGAACAAAACTCCTCAAACTCTTTGGAATGACCCTCATTTTAAGAGATTACATCATCCTGCAAATAAGGGCTTTGTCTTTGATTTAACTTTTCTTTTTGGGTGAAATGAATTAATTCTGTTGGATGAAATCAATGAAATATTAGGCTCACTAAACCGAGCTGATACAATGATAAGGGTTGTATAATATTTATGTATTATTATAACTAATATTTTGAATGATTATTGTTATTATTTTGTATTAATCAAACCCACGACTTTTACCCACACCCACGACCTGTACCGAACCACGATCATTAGTCAAACTCGTCTGCGATGCAGGCTACGGATCCCGCGGCACGAGAAAAATGGCTGCACAGTCTCATTAACAAGGCATCAATCAACATGAGTGTGTAAGGCTTTTTCGATATTCTGATTGGTTGTCAAGATATTCGCATCTGAAGTTAGAGTAGAGAAAAATATGCGAAGCGTGTTGCGTAAATGGACACCATGTAAAAAATATTTCAAATATCAAAATTTCCTGACACACTTTTGTTCGTCATCATTCCAGAAATGTTTTGGCGAAATTTCACGAAAATCGGTCAAATTTACGAAATTCGCTCAAAGGGGATGTATTCCTCTCAAAATCAAATGCAAGATTTTAGCTCCTAAAGGTTTGAAAACATGCAACAAGCCCCACACCAGGAGATTATGTCGCCTCCTGAAACCGCAAACCAATGAGAAGACGAGGCCTCCTGGCGTCAATGACAATGGATCAAGATTTTCCCGGGAAAAGTATCGCGTAGCAGTCACGTTTTTTTTTATCTTGCTCCGTTCCTCGTCTAGTAATGGACAAAGTCGGCGAAGGAAAAACCCGCGGCAGAAAGGGTAAATCTGTCGCATTCTTCTTTCTTCTGGCCAAACCAAGAGCCTTTTTCGCTTTCAGCAAGGACTGTTTTTTTTTTTTTCGACAAAATGCTGCCATTTCTCTCTTCTTTACGCCTGTTATTTTTTCTTTTTCTTTACCCATGGACTCCTCTCTAATTTTGAGTTACGTTTTTTATCCATGAGAAAAGACTTTCCACAAGCAGATAACTTCCACGTGCGAATTTTGTCAAGTGCGCGATGTAAACAAAATATGCGAACATTCCTCCGGCTGGGGGTTCGCCCATTTACGAGATTATGACACCTTCCCGATTTATTAACTTTTATTTGAAAATACGTTTTTCTAAATAATTAAGTCGGACGCTTTTTGAGAGTTTTAAATATTTTTCTGCAAACGTTAGTTAAAATGTCCAACTTCAATGTAGTCCAAAAAAAACAAAAAAAACTTTTTTCCGGCCTCTGAAGGTAGGAAGTAACCTTAAGAAACTTACCCCCTTCATGTATTCTCAGCACGCAACGCTTCTTCAAACCTGCTGCAAAGACGATTACGGTCAGCAGCAAATTTTTGGAAAATAAACATGTATTCCCATATGTTCTTCTGTACTGATGCGTGTATGCAGGATTTCACCAAGTACCTACTTGATTTTCATCCTCTCGTGCGTTACGGAAGAAGCGCGGGCTCATTTTGCAAACACTAGTTGGTAATCGAGCCTCAATAAGAACGTAATTCATCTTGATCAAGAACCCACGGCAGAGTGCTCTTTGGTCGAATGTGTTGCCATCTTTTATGAGGAGGGAAAAGATGGTGTAAAATGATTTAAGATACCGGGACGGCAGAAAAGAGAAGAGCCTTTTGAAGCTGAGAGAATCCATTTGGTAAGTCAGTCCGCTTCATCAGCCGCGCACGCTTAGAAGCGTGGGATGATTTTTAAAACAAAAGCATTGATGGTATAGTTGAAAATTACTACTGGCTTCTCCATGATGGAAGCGTTTAGTATAAAGCGATGTGGGGAACTTCTCAGTGTGTTTTGGCTGCCAGAAAAGCAAAAATAAACTTACGCGTACTCTTTACTGTTAGCGATAGTTTGTCTGATTTAGAGGAAAGAGGCTCGCATTGCTTTTATGAGGGTCCCCTATACTTTTTACGTGGAAGGTGAGCGATATTTTTTCTGGTGGATCGTGATTTAAATTTTTTTTTCATTCGTGACTCGCGATTAAAGCTGATAAGATATTTTCATGTCCACATGGACGAATTTTTAGTTTAAACGTGACCTGTGAATGAAGAGCTGAATTAAACGTGATTCGTGAACTATTTGTTTTGCGTGATGAATTTCCGGCTCTTTTACTGTTTTGAAAATGTATATATTGGCTGTGGTTAAGTTTTGACAGGTCAGAGTACGGTGTGCGCAGGCTGATTGCGTTCCATCATGGTCGTTAAACAAAAATTGAGTCATTTGCATCTTGACGCGTTAGAGTCAACTTCTTTGGTGGCAGCATGATAGCGTGAATATACGTAGATTGTAATGGATTTCGCTGTCTGTTGCTGTTCATTCGAAAGTTAAAAAGTTTGACGGGCCTGCGCGACTCCCGTCATTCCTCGGTGACGAATTCGTTCTTAGGAGGCAACTGACGTTATCAAGAAAGATCCGAAACTGCAATCATGGGACACATTCCTCCGTGACGAATTCGTTCTTAGGAGGCAACTGACGTTATCTT